GGCACTTTCATATTTGACCAGGGTCGACCTGACCTATGAGAAACCGACCAAGGAGGTCGGCGAGATCGGATCGGTTAAGCTCATGGTTGCTCAACCGAACGGTCTCGAGTTCGAATCCCCCGGGCAGATGAGGCTTGATAGCTAGGAAAGCCAACTCTAAAAATCAAAACAACGGCTGCCCTGCAGTTTGTTCTTTCATTAATAAATAAAGGCTATGGAAGCAAATCCAAAAAGAAAAGAAAGCTGAAATCTGAGTCAATGACTTATATGGCGCATAACAAGTTGACACGTAATATTTTATTTTTTCCAACACTAGAATTAAGAACGAAGAAGAAGAAGAATCAGCATCGCCAAAAACTAGAGACGTAACCCAAACGTGTTTCTAGTCATGACACCTGCCTTTTCCTTGGCAAAGTCGTATAGTGTCAGAACAGAAAATCGAAAATAGTCGAACTTCTTTGATTCACCTCACTGACAAATGAAGCCCAAACAGCTCTAATTATGAATATGAGTTATAATACGACCTTAGTTACATTGTAGTTACATTTCTATCATAACATTTATTAAATGTAATATTTATTTCCTGCTTTACGCTAAATTTTCTTAAAGTATAAATTAATGTTGATATTGCAGATAAAAATCTTATAGTCTCGAAATAACCAAAGAATATTCCATTAACATTTTTATGAGTTAGCTAGCACTTTAAACAACAAATTAACATAAAGTTCCCTTTTCGTTACTGATGGTCCTCTGGGCAAGTGAAGTAGAGTTCACCTGTTTCTGTGACCTCGGCATTTAAGTTTACTTTAACCCGGATCCGAACTCGAGACTCTCGGGTTAGCAGTCTAGCGCTTTAAAGGTGCATAATAAAATTTTTGGGAATATAGCAGTCCTGTTATAAAATATATGATAAGACTTGTCAGAAGTAGAAAAACATTTTATGTTTCCATCGAATATGCCGTTGGTGTCATTTAAGAAATATCTGTACATATTGTCTCCCTTTAAAACGATTTACCATTTATCTCCCTTGGGTTTAGGTACAAATTTAAAAACACATGGATGCTGGACAATACCCAAGAAAAAGAGTAATAAAAAGTTCACGATCAAGGGGAGAAAATTGGACTAAAGGGAGAGTAACCAGTTCTGGAGGTGATGGAAATAAGCTCTACCAATTCTGGTTTTTCCCCCTGAGAGTTATAGCCCTTTGGTGTGAGAACAGGGCATGAAATGACAGGGGTCTGCCATTATTTTTGGTGAGATTTCCGTGGTGTTCCAATAACTCGTGAGATATTGTTTCCTAGCCTGCCTAATTATAAGTCTGGTCCGTCGGTTATGTCCGACTCGGTGGGCAATTTTCTTCGGTCAATGTAAAACACGTCTGAATATAGAATTTTTTTTTTTTTACATCGGCTGTATCTACCTGTGGACGCTACTTCTGTAATGTGGTTTATAATAAAAATTTAAGATCTTGTTCAACTATTCATAGCTACATGATCTTCTATCTACAAAAAAAAATATTCCATTTTAAAATGGAATCGCTTATAGGATATAAAAATGGAATCGATTTCAGGAGTTTAGAGAGGAATCGGTTAGAGGATGATACGTATGTTTATTGTCTGTTGCACTGTTAAATCGTGGAGCTAACCCCCCTCCCATCTCCCCTTTCACTCACAGCCCACCCATCTCATTCCGTCTAGTTTACAAACTCCATTTTTTATTGAGTGATTTGTGTCTCTTTCCCTCTCTTTCGTTCTCTCTCTTCTTTTTTTTTTTCACTCACCGGATAAACATGAACTCAAGCACATGAGGTTAAATAAATCTGCATGGGCAGGAAACCATAGAGTTTAAACACTGTAAACGTTTTCCATCAGCTTATTCCAGCCTTATTCCTCGACTGTTATTTTTTGTAACGTTGACATTATTTTTAAGTTATTTATTTTTAAAATCTTTCTCTGTATCTTCTCTCTCTTTCTCTCCCCTCCCCACTCTCTTTTTCTCTGTCTACCTAGGTCTCAAGTTAAGAGTGACAGCATCAATAATGTTTTTTTTCTTCTTTTTTCACGTTGAAGTCAGTATTAAATAACGTTTATCGTTAATATGAAATTAGCTTCTTTTAAATATCGCTGATGTTGCTAGGTTACAAGATACTCCGACATTACCACCCCCCTCCCACCCCAACATCACCAGACGCAACCATTCACCATCCGCCCAACCTCCTGTGTTTATCTAGCGCTTTGACTTCTATCCCAGTTGAAGGCATCTCATATTGAGAGAATACAGTCACATTACACATGCAAGTACCAGCAGTCTAACACTTCACTAAGTTATTTAAAGCGCAAACTCGTCTGAACCTAAACCCTTATCTAAATTCTAGCGAAATACTTAAATACCAAATCCCAAATTTGATAGCTGCTGTATCAGTTGGAAAATTTGAACAAAGCCATAATGTTTTATATTGCTGGTCTAGCCGCTAACCCTAATCATTATGACCAGTATATCTCAGCTCTCCTCCCACACCTTCTCCCCATCCCCCCACCCACCCCATCCCCGTCTCACCCCTCACCCTCCTTCAGATCCATCATAATCTAATATAAAATGGGGCTATATTTAGCCATCTAAAGGTCACTCAGTACAGTGTGGTGACGGTGAAAATCCATTTCCGATGGTATGACAACCAAATTTACCCCCCCCCCACCCCCCTCCATTTCCCCTCAATCCTGGTATAAAAAGTCTTAGACAGAAGTATTTCTGGCTTTAAAGAACTAAGGACTATAGGGCGTCTTTGATTAGCCCAGTCGACAGTGTATCAGTTTGGTTGTTCGTACGTAGGTCTGTGGCTGTCAGTTTTGTTTAACATCCGGGGTATCTTGTCTGGCGACATCAGGGCTAGAATAAAGCGAGCTTCACATTCAGAACGTACTTTTTAAGATAGTTTCACATTCAGAACTTACTCCTTAAGATAGTTTCACATTCAGAGCTTACTCCTAGTTTCACATTTCAGAGCTTACTTTTAAAGATAGTTTCATATTCAGAACTTACTCAGAAAGATACTTTCACATTCAGAACTTACTCCTTAAGATAGTTTCACATTCAGAACTTACTCCATCAGATAGTTTCACATTCAGAGCTTACTTTAAAAGATAGTTTTACATTTAGAACTTACTCCTAAAGAAAGATTATCATTTAGAGCTTACTCCTAAAGATGGTTTCACATTTAGAGCTTACTCCTAAATATAATTTCATATTCAGAACTTACTCCTAAAGATATTTTCACATTTAGAGCTTATTCCTATAGTTTCACATTTAGAGCTTACTCCTGAAGATAGTTTCTCATTTAGAGCTTACCCCTAAAGATAGTTTCTCATTTAGAGCTTACTCTTAAAGATAGTTTCACATTCAGAGCTTACTCCAAAAGATGTTTTACATTCGGAGCTACTTTAAAAGATAGTTTTACATTTAGAACTTACTCCTAAAGATAGTTTCACATTCAGAGCTAATGCCACAGAAGCTTGTCTTACAAGGAAACATTGCCATAACTGTAACCACGTATGAATGAAATATTCGACCTGACAAGATAATTGCCCATAACAAAAATAAAACAAACAAAAATTAAAATATAAATTGATTTTGTCATACCCGGCAGTACGTTTTGATGCTATTATTTTTACCAACATCCCCCGCGTATCACAAACTGGCACTAACCCTAATCGTAACCCTAAAACCTAAGTTTGTTAGTTGTAGTACTGTAAGCCGAGTGTTACACTGACTGTAGCTCCTTCGTACTGATGAAACCTCTCTATCAACTAACCAACCGCACCCATTTCAGAATACAAATATGAAATAACAGCAAGCGCAAAACCACAGGAAACAGAAAATTAACCCGGGTCTAAACTACATCACTGCGTGATGTGTTGCAAAATGCCAAATTTGGTCGGAATATTAGGGGGTAAAAACTATAACAAACTGATAGGATTTGTTATATTTGTTTCGAGGCTTTTTATTCAAAACCTTTTGCAACAAGTTTAAACAAGGACTGTTTTTAAATTTAAAATTAAGATAAAAAAAAAAAACGACAACAAATTTATACAAGTAAGAAATATTTGCCATGAAGTAAATAGCGCAATCCTTGATTAGCTTTAATGGAAAGAATTTTCTGTCGTCTGGCCGATGTAATGGTTCAGTAATGGCCGCTCCATCGACGGTGATAACATGTAATGGTTTGTGTAATAGTCCGAATAATTATGTTGAATTATCCTTCCCTGTCTATTAGGTTTGGGAATTTCGAAATATTGTAACATCGTTTTACATTCTTACGTCTAGTCCTTAATTAATGTCCTTTCAGTGAGGTATTTATTTTTTATTAATTTTATGTTTATGGACAATCTTAATATGTCATATGTGATTTAATATTCCATAAACAGCATTTCTCGTGCACTAGTTGTCCTTATCTATTTATCTTTCATCCTAATTTTTCTTTAAACTGTTTGCTAAGCGTAAAATTAACCGGAATCCATTGAAAGAATGGGACGGCGTGATCGAATCGTTGAGCGATCGACTGCTATTCCGAAAGATTCGAGTTTGGGTCCGTAACTACTAGAGTAGTAGCACTTCTAAATTAAAGAAAGTAAAGAGGGCTGGACATAGTACTTTTTTTTTACTATGAAGGAGACACTAACAATTACTAATACACGGAGTTCGTTTTCTAAAGTTTCCATGTTTTCCCATAAGTTTCCATGTTTTCCCATAAGTTCCCATGTTTTCCCATAAGTTCCCATGTTTTCTCATGTTATCCCATGTTTTCTCATGTTTTAATCTCAATTTATTTTTCTCCCATCACAGGTCGTTGACCCGGTGATGTCATGACTCCTGGGTTTTTGTTCTAACGCTGACGTCGTGTGCCAGAGTTACTCAACGCACGTGCACCCATGGGCACATCACCTGTCGACTAGAACCAGACTATTCAGGGTTTCAGTGAAACCAGCTTTAGGTTAACGAACACCTTCATTGGGTTAGTACACCACCAGACACGGATGAGGAAACACCATCTTTGGATTATTTAATCAACGAACAACGAAACTTGTACATCGTTCAAGTTCTAAAGCCGGGTTTACTTAAATAATTTTATCCGGCTAATGATACATCAGACATGTTCACTGGGTGCTGAATTGGTGTACATATTCAGTCATTTAACGTCAACGAAATCTGTTCGTATCGCCTTGTGAGGTATACAGAAACAGCAAGAAATATCGTATCGGAAGCGACGGACATTGTGGAGTAATCTCGACTAAAGGGAAGTAACCAATTATTCCATCTCTCACGTTGGAGTACAGAAAACATGGATGAGAAGAAAAGACGGCTCGTTGTTCGAGACAACTCGTACGGTGAGTTTGTTTTCTTGTTACAGTGTGGGGATGTGGGGTTTTCTGGTTACAGTGTGGGGATGTGGGGGTTTTCTTGTTAAAATTGGGGATGTGGGGTAGACGTCAAAATAACATAGGAATTGTAATTCATACTTTTCACACTAAAGGAGGTGCATTAACCATTATGATAAAATAGATAGATCCAACACAAGATGCCTATGACACAGAACAATATACCCACTGTGTATAGCACACGCAAAGATCGGTAACTATGACTCCAGTAACTATGACTCGTATGCCAAGAAACCCAGTACCCACAAACTATGACACGAGCGTCCCTAAAAGTCCAACGTCACATGATACCAGACTAAATGAAAGGTCATGTCTAACGCTCACTGTATTCTTAATTAGAGGTCAAAGCCATCGTTGACCTTTGCTGGATTAATTAATGGATATTTATTTTTCACAAAAACAAAAATATGGGAGAGAAAAAAACACCCTGCCGTCGACGGAAAGCTAACAAATGTCATTCCAAGTTTGTTTTCGTGGATCGAATTTCCTCAGCAAAAAAAAAAAAAAGGTTCTAATTTTAAAGTAACCTTCGCAGTTACTTGGCTGTTTTAAATGGCATGTGTGAAGTATATTATACAATGTATTCGTTATCGTTTGCTTATTTTTATTTACATATTTTTGTTCAACAATAGTTGTTTCTTTTCATTCATAAAAACTCAGTAAATAATTTAAAAAAAACCAAGGTAACATTTTCAAATCTGAATGACAATATGGCAGATGAAGTAGAGTTAACCTGTTCAGGTAACGTGGTCGTATTATGGGATTGTCAACACTACAATCATGATTGTTACCCATCTGATTGGTTTGACTCTGGGACTCCGGAAATCTAACTCCAGACATCCGGATTAATTAAAACACACTCATCTGCTCGGCGTGGTCGAACTGTAGAGCTTACGATTGCTACCCTGAAAGTCTCGAGTTCTGATCCCGGTCTTGAGTCTGTGGGACATACGATAGTCTAAAAGTTTCTTGACTCACTTTAAGGAAACAAAAAAAAAGATATGGCGGGTGGGCATAATGCTGATCACATTATTTCCATGTATATCGAGGTCATAGAAACAAGTGAACTCTACTTCATCTGCCCCATGTGTTATGGGCACAAAAGGGAAAAGATGTTGGTAAACATACACTCTGCAAGTTGAACACATCTGTCGCTGAGGGTCGCGCCGACCAATACGTTTCGTCACAATTTTTCTAGAAACGTTTTTGTTTTTAAAATATCGTATGTTTTGACGAGTCAATTACTTCTTTTCTGCTAATTAAAATGTAGAGTCCTACAAAAAAGTGACATTACGCATGTTTCAAGAATACAAAAACAAAAAGCATAACGAAAGTATATCTGGCTCAAAGCCATTTTCTTTCTTCGTATAGGTGTCTTGTCTTGTACGCTAATTGTTTTGCTTTTTGTTTTCTTTATTTTTTTTTCTCTTCCCTACTTAAATTTATTTTTTGTTTGACCATCTTCAACTTGCTCTAACTACGCCAGTGATTACACTTGAAAAATTTCTAAAGACAGATAGTTTTGTAAGACGCGCCTGCATTTCTTTTTGTTTTCGGCTTTCCCCGCTACTAAACAACGCCTGCACGTTATCGCACCGAGGTGCGACCACGATGTGCAATCAGTGAAGGAAAGTTGGGGACAAATTAAAAGGGCAGGCAGGCAGACAAGTATACACCGCGGGGGACGTCTGCCTGAGGTGAATTGTTTTTTGAGGCTTTGCTTGATCTGAATTTAAGCCGCAGGGGGAAAAAAGTTGACCAGCCCAGCGTAACATCACGTTCTGCGTGACGTGGCTAATCCGAAACGGGAGTTTCCGATTTTTTGGGTGGAGAGTCAACATCTCGTATAATTCTTCTGTTCAGGGAGTCGGGATATTGTCATGGCATTTGTGACATTGTCATGACAGTTGTGACATTATGTAATGGCAATTGTGACATTGTCGTGTCAGTTGTGTAATTTTCATGACAGTTGTATCATTGTCATGGCAGTTTTGACATTGTCTTGACATGTGTGACATTGTCATGACAGTTGTGACATTGCCATTAGTTGTGACATTGCCATTAGTTATGACAATGTCATGACAGTTTGTGTCACAACTTGATACCTCTGGCAATTGATTGTTAGATGACTAGACTTGTAGCCATTGATATTCAAATATCAAAGTTCTATGAAGAAAGGTATTTATGAGTTGCTTTGGGGGGGGGGGGTTAGAAAAAATAATATTCGAATATATTGTGTGCACTATATCATTACTCTCGTTAGCCATCTGGATATTATTTGAATATATTTATACTCGTGGTTTCACCCATACTTATTGTCTCTTCTGCTCAGAGGCGTAGCGAACCTTCCCGGCGCCCCGGGACAAACTTTACGATTTGCATTTCCCCCCCCCCCCTCAAGATTTCGACTTGCACCCCCCCCCCCCCCTCAAACTTTCAATTTGCACCCCCCCCCCTCAACCTTTCAATTTGTTTTTCCAACCCATTTTGGCGCCCCCTAAGGTCGGCGCCCGGGGACATATGTCCGTCTCCCCCCCCCCCTCGCTACGCTACTGCTTCTGCTATTGTTTAATTAAATTTCACGTAATTCCAAAACGACATTTATAAATTTTTTTCCGAACAATTTTTCTTATTTTTTATATCATAATATCAGTATTAAGAGTTCCTAGTTATGGCATTTGTTTTCTTAAGGTTAACTTTCCATTTTTTTAATCGAATACACATCCCTGTTCCCTTTACTATAACACTCCGAGAACCCCTGACTACCAAACATCCGTGGCAATGTTTCCTCACGGATAGTTCCTAAGGACACGCCCCCACCCCCAGTACACAAAAGGTCCCCTCTGCTGGACTTGTTTGACCCCCATATCAAGTTTGCCCGGGCCAATATTGGGATCTCTTCCCTCGGAGTACACCTCCCATCTGAGCTTAGGCTGAGGGCTTCTGTTCCTTGGCCAGTATGTTCCTTGCCAGATTTTTTTTTTACCACCTCCTGGCCAGATAGTTTGTTGACCGTTGTGTTTACACGTCCGTTGTAGCGGATGATGGGTTCTTTTCTGTGGTCATCGGGCTCTGACCATCTGTAGTTTCATACACATACAAACACCGACACACACACACACACACACACATATATATATATATATATATATATATATATATATATATATATATATATATATATATATATATATAGGTTGCAGTTAATATTTAATGTCTTTACATGGGTTCAGCCCAGCTCTATAGTCACACTTTGTTACCCAATGCCGACATTCAATTTTTCCAACCGTATTGTAGACACTGTTAAAGTTTGTGAGTGTATGTCGCCGGCCATTTGTGTTGGAGATGAGTACAATCTTCTATTACTGCCGCTCTCAGAGACCCATCAGATACGATGGTGATGTATGACTGGTATAACTCTCTTTACAATGCGATGCACAAAGTAGTGATAAGTGGACTTGGTTTGTTTTAACCGTGTTTTATTCATGGGTTCAGATTTCTTATATTTTCCTTGTGAACACTTTTTTTTTACTTGCCAATTTTCTCATTGTTGTTTGCTTTGTTCGTGTGGTTATGTTTTCCGTGTGGTTAATTTTCTTCTTCTGACTTAATGGCTAGTTTTCTTGGTGCTGTTAGCTCTCGTCGTGTGGTAAATGTTTACCTTGTGGTCAGTTTTCCTCGTATAGTTAGTTCTTTTTTAGTGGCCTGTTATCTCACTGTGACCAATATTCTCACTCTGGTCAGTTTTCCTCGTGTGGTCAGTTTTCCCCGTGTGGTCAGTTTTCTCAATGTGGCCAATATTCTCACTGTGGTCGGTTTTCATAGTGTGGTCAGTTTTCATCGTGTGGTCAGTTTTCTCACTGTGGTCAGTTTTCCTCGTGCGGTCAGTTTTTTCCACTGTGGTCAGTTTTTCCTCGTGTGGTCAGTTTTCCCATACGATGTCAATTATCCGAGTGTTTTGTATTCCTAATGGTCATGTTTAGGTTTAACGTTGTGTTTACCAAGTATTACCCGTGTACACATAGACGGCCTGGAACTGCATCGTCTCAATGTGTACATCCCTGGCCTGTACTAGCATTTCATCTGTACACAGTGCTGGATCGTGTACTATGATATAAATATCATTCATGAGCTCTGACAATCTAGAGTACTAAACATGGATGCGTTATAAAATGTAAAAAAACTTGGATGTGATGAAATTAGCGTCACTAACTAGCTGGGCAGCCAATTTGGCACGATGTTATTGTTAAGTCGTTGTATCGCGGTTAAATTTTGACGCATGAAAATTGGTGAATTCCGACTATTAAGGAAATCGGTCACTTCAAATTTTTCAAAAAATGTGGTGTGATTATTGTAGGAAAACATCGCACTTAACGACAAAATGTTTAGAAACGGTAATGTTTGCTAGAGTTTTTCATAAAAAAGACAATTTAAAAAGTTTTAATTAGTGATAATTTACCGCATCGTGACAAGCATTCTTTTTATATTCACTCTTACGTAACTTGGAGTAATTACTGTAAAATACCTACTAAAATACACGCTTTTAGTTTTGTTAGTTTTCAATGTCAAGATGCACAAAGCTAACATTTTTATGTATCATCCCCAAACTACTTCCCTCTATATAATGAAAGGCCTGCGTTGAAATGTCCCCTTTACACACGAAACCTCTCCTTTAATCATGAGAAATCCCCTCTAAACATAAAACGTCATCCCCGGCCATGAAACCACGAGCGATGTAAAATCCGCAATCACGAACTACCGGTGCCATTAAATTTTCTACACCCATAAAATATCCCTGTCTAATCAAAACTTCGCCGGGTGATATAAAAAAAATATCACCGATTCTAAAATGTCAATAATCGGGTAATGTCATTAGTTATGTCACAAGGCATGTCATCAGCCGTGACATGCCACCGTAATGAGGTGTCATTTCACCAACTAAATTCAGG